ATGGAGACCGCCGATCAAACTATTTAAAGCCTTTATCGGCCGATAACGATCGGTGACCGATCAATCGGAGCACCCTTAATTTTAATTTTATAAAAAGCTTTATTTTTATATATATATATAAAAAAACTGCTCTCTCATCCATACCTCATACCCTTGGACGAGGTGGATGATTTGGTCTTCAATCAGCCCAAAAATCTAATGTCACCCATCTGTTCATGGAGCTTCACTGGTTACCCCTGGCTGCCCAAATCAAATTCAAGTCCCTGATGCTAGTCTACAAAGTGCTTAAGGGTACGTTTCGTGCCTCTTGAGAACCTATGGTCATATTGATAACTGTAACACTGTGTCTATTTTGTACTGTAAGTCGATTTGGATAAAAGCGTCTTCTAAATGCACAAACATAAGTTTATGTAAGTGCATGTGTTTGTGTATGTGTGGATATATGCAAGGGAGAGAAAACATTTTACTTTGTATTTTCTGCAGCTTCACCTTATTATTGCATTAGTCGCTGGCACTGATTTTATTTGTGGCAAAAAACATTTCACACAATGCCTTTTCTAATGTCTTGTTTATGCATAGCTCTTAATAGATTTAGAAGAATGGAGACAATGGCCAGAAAAGCGTGATGCATTTTACAAAGTGATAATTAACACAGTGTTTAGCTGAGTTGATTTTCAGATTAGTTCTGTAATTCTCTGCTTGCATCTCACCCTGCTATCATCATGCTGTTTGTTTGAAAAAAAAGTATAGAATTAAATAATGTCAAATTTATGAAATTGTTGTATTACAGTAGTGCTGGGAAAGCCTTAATTAGATTGAAGCAAATCATATCTTTTTTGTCTCTCTTTCTTTTTACTGTCAGCGGTTATGACTCAAAACTTAACTGAAGCTCAGTAAAAGTATCTCTTAAATAAAGGAAGCTTTGCTAGAATAAAGAGTTTTTCAATGCAATTATTTTTCACAAATCCTTGAACAGCTCTGTATTCTAAGAATCAGCCTTGTCAGTTCAAGAACAGCTTAAAAAGCATTCATCACATAAGAGCACTTTCAGAGGTGTCCTGTAATTTTTTTATTTTTTATTTTTTGCAGCGAACCATGCTCTCTTATGTCTAGCCCCCAGTGCAGTTGGACTCAGAGCTGAGCTGTGTGGCAGACGTCTGTCATTTCTTAAGCAACGTGTTTGGCCTTAAGCCAACAAGCTGGCAGCTGCCTTTGTGTGTCGTGACCACTTGAGGCTGGAGATTTTACCAGGAGATGCGTCTATGCACAAACAATTGGGTGCATATTTGCACACGTAGAGGTGCACTGTGAAGTGGACATGCACACTGCACACACAGACAAATTGCAAGCAAATTTGTATAATTATGCTCCTGACACTGCCTCTCAGTTTGCCCTCTCAAACTGGCTCTCAGAATACTTAATCAGTTAGGTTGCATTTGCAAATGCGTGCGTGTGCAGACACACAAAAAATTAGGGAACAGATATTCACATGCTGTATGTATGCAGAGAACATGAATGCATATCACTGCAGGGAATCATGTTGTACACAAAAAGGCAAGCTTTTACAAACTCATAAATAAGAAAGAAACAGTCGCTGAGAGCACACAGTTTGTATTTTATAGAATAATATTTCTCAGAAACATTACACATGGCAGCAATAATGTGCAAAAAATTGCTGCATCTGTTAAAGGGCCACTTAGTAACAGACACAAGTACTTGCTCCTGAGATGCGAGGGTGCTGCAACCTTCATGAAATCTCATGCTCCTTTTAGCAAGAATCCTTCTAATTTGTTGCAATCAACAGATCTGCTGTTAAATCTTAGATTTAATGGACTTATATATTTGCAAAAGTAGTACTTTATCCATCACCTGCATCCACTGACACCGGTGTTAAAAAGTCAAATTTTCTTTTTTTGCAACTTAAAAACAGTAGCTTGAAAATGATGTAACAGTTTAAATTGCTTTAGAAAGGCCTGTTGCTGTAAATTAGTGGGGGGAAACTAGCTAATTCACTGGTAGATGATGATATACAGTTCAGATGTTAATCTTCCTGACAGCTTTATGAGGACTGTGGATTGCTTTAGTTTTGAATGTTGTTTTGCATGCCCCTTCGGGACTATTGTTCTGAATTACCCTAAAGCCACCATGCAACAAAAATGGCATATGTGCATCCCTAATGCCTTTAAATGCATATTCAGCTGGTACATATGATTATATTGGAAACACCACGCTGCCATCTAATGATTGAAGTTAAAACTAAATAAACTTTGTTTTTATTTGATGTTATTTAATTTAATGTTTTAAATATTTTAAACTTAGTGAAGTTAGCCATGCCAAATGGTGGATAACATACATCTGAATTCATACATAGCTTATATAAACAATGATCCCACATTGCCTCACTGTGTAACAATAGATATCTCTAACTTTTATCTCTTGTGTGCTATGTAAAAAATATCTTCATAATATGTTAATGTGTTTGCTTTTAATGAAAATCATACTAGTTGTTGTTTGGTTATGAATGGTTACTAAAAATATTGGAAATTAAAATTAATAATTTATTATTCATATAAAAAATCTTCCTCCAAATAGAAGTACACTAGATAATTGTAAGGGCTACTAGCCGGTAATCAACCTATATTATTAATTGACCATAACTATTGCAATTTAAGGATACATTTTGCTGGTTCAACCAGATGTTGTGCTAGAGTTTGCAAGCAAGTATTCTGTGTAATAATACTTAAATAGAATGCACAAACGACTGCTGTTTTTTTTTTTTTTTTTACTACATGCTGCACAACTACTAAGAGAAGAAAATAACTAATAGGAATCAGCAATATCATCACAAAGTACATTTTAGTTAATCAAAGCAGCTACAGAATAAAATGAAAAAAACTTTGGGTAAATTTGGAATGTAGAAGATAAAACAGCAAGACACAAACATCTAGCCTCAGGATTCAAACACTTCAAGACATTGAACCACATATCACACGTAGTCACAGCAGGGGTAGATTGCTGCGAAGGAGGCTAGCACATGTGCTAGGTGGTAAGCTAAAAGCATGTGGCCACAGAAAGTAAAAATGGCGAATAGCCTGTACTTAGTTAGGCCTGTACTTGGAAGTCAGAGGACTTGACCACAGCGCTTTACAATACATTCAGTCATTCATAAACACACTAACACACTGATGGTGGCAAGGTACATTGTAGCCACAGCTGCCCAGGGGCTCACTGATAATCTGGCCTGATAATCTTGGCCCTCTGACCACCATGATTAGGCAATGTGGGTGAAGTATCTTGCCCAAGGACACAACAATACTGGGAGCCTGGTACTTGAACTGACAACCTTTCGCTTGCAGGGCAAATCCTTCAGCAAACACCACTGTCACCACTGCAACAAGCAGAAATGGCAGGGCTTTCACTGCCCATTTATTAGCAGTGATATAATGTCAGAATTACAAGGCATGCTGAAAGCTGAAATGCATGCTGGACGCTGTAGTTACAATCTGTTTGTAGTCAGTTCCATCCAGTACACTTAATAAAACTATAGTTTTCCTCGAGGCTCTATTGAAACAAAGACTTTTAACCAACCTGGTTTAGATTGCTTTCATTTAACATAAGACATCTTATATAAAAGTTTAATTTTATCTTAAGGCATGTAATGAGCTAAACAACTCTTAGTTTACCCAAAATGATGACATTGAGTCACGTTAATTCCAAAACATTGCACTGATATAGCAAGCTTTAGATCCAGTTTAGCTGCATTTATTTCAGTTATATTACATTAAAGTCAGATTAACTTTATTTTTGTGCCAGTTAATGACAATTTACCTTCAATATCTCACAAACGTTAGTGTATAGAGCATGAATGATGTAAAATAGCTGCCCCCCCCCCAAAACAACTCATCACAAAGCCATTAAACCACTGGCAACAAAGCAGAGTACAGTATAGTTTTTAGTGTTGCAATGTTTCAGGAGAAAATTGGGAGCAGGTGTTTAATTCGTTATTATCGCCCTCACTCTCTTTTACTGGCCAGTAAAAGTAGTGCCTCAAATAGTAATAGTACCTCAGAGCAAAGAAACTCTGATCCGAAAAATAATTTTAGAACTGTTACTGTAGCAAGTCATACTGATATTGATCTGATGTTAAATTTAAATGGTACTCATAATCATTAGCAGCAAATCCTTTAATATTACTGAAGGAATGTTTGCATTCTAGATCAGTAAAGCAAGCTTATTTTTAATGGCCACACAAATGAGTACTGTGGGTATACTAAGGAGCAAACTTACAGATGTTTTCTTGAGCCATGACGCCTACAGCGGGTTCTCAAACCACTGTGCAGAATCAGACGGATCACTGGAAGTGCTGGCTGACCTTGAAATATTAGCATGCTGGATTATCAAGGTTGCCCATTATTATTCCACAGGAGGATGGATGAAAGAACACAATGATGAAAAAGGGATGAGAAGATGAATGAACAGCCACGGTTAAGGAGGAAAGGGTTTATAACCTCTCATTAAACCTAAGTCTGATGGATGGATGAAAGGAGGAGATAGTGAGGGATAATGCAGACAGGAGAATTACACTTGACTTTTGGCCTCATGTGTCCTTTGGATGTAGAGCCTAAATGGCTGACTAAAGCCCTCTTTGGCTTGCCACTCTAATCTTGACTGCTCCGACCTGTCGGAGTGATAAATAATCCTCTCAAAGTTATGCATAATTTGTCACTACTTATGAGACACTAAGTGATTTCCAAGAGCTTTCCATCGTTATTCAAATGTTTTCTCTTATTTTTGGTTGCTTCTTTTCTCCTTCCACAGAATAACTTTCTGCCACCTGCCGTTCCAGAGTAAATGGCTGTACATTGGTACAGAACGAGGGAACATCCACATTGTCAACGTGGAGTCCTTCATGCTCTCAGGCTACGTCATCATGTGGAACAAAGCCATTGAACTGTGAGTAGCCTCGGCTTCTCTTTTTACCCTCTAAAAATTCCCTACCACTAATTTTCTCATTGGTCTTTTCTTTTCCACACATTTGAACATACTTCGCTGGTTTTGTTTAGAAAGATGGGTCTCATATTTAATACTTGTCAAGTATTTGGCGTAATTCACAAGTGCGGACAGTCCATCTTAAAAAATATTTTTCTACTTAAAAATGGGACAGTGATAAAATATTTTGATGATTTGCTCTTTTTACACTTATGGGTGATTCTTTAACTATGGGCACTATTGGCCTTGCAAACTTGAAAGTAAAAATGTAATAAAATATAAATTCTCACAATGTAATAGGTTAGCATAACTAGTGTAGCTTGAAGATTCATAAGAGAACACACTGATTTTTTTAAGACAAATTTGTGGTTTTTAACAGATTTCCCAACTCGGCTGGCACAAATGTAATTTCCATCACATTTGAATATTTGTCATTTATTCTAAAATACTATGATACACATAATGTTTTTTCACTGGAAGAACAATTTCATATATAGTTGTAACTGTTTATATAATATACACTTAACATGAAAACAAAACAAAGTATGAAATATGAGCTTAACATAAACTTGATTACATTACTTTTAACACTTTTAAAGTAAATCTTCAATATGACAACTTGATTTTGCACTATTTCATAGAAGTTCTCCAAATATCCTCATTGGAACATATCTCATCCACTCCTCTTTTCAGGTGACTGCATAGATATATTTTGTTAGACCTCTGGGTTAGGTAGGCTATTCCAAAAACATTATTTTCACTAGTTTTTTATTTATTTTTATTTTTTTTTATTTCTGCCTATATATATATTTTATATAGAATTCAGGGTTTTATTTTTTCTCTAAACTTCCTTTGGAAACACCTGCAAATTACGGTCGCAAGGAAAAGGATGTATCTTTTTTTTTTATATCTCATAAGAATATGAGATATGAGGTACAAGGATACCTAAACATTTTCTGGTTCATTAAAGGTATAAAAAGTATTGAACATATTATATTTGAAACCAGAGATTTATGTACACTTGAAAAAAAAATGATACATTTCCAACTGGACGATGACCCCAAGGCATAGAGCCAAACTTGGTACAAAGTTGTAACAAATTGTAACAAAGTATACGGCCGTTTCTCAGTTCACAAACACGCGAGTATGGACTCATGTTCTCGCTGAGTATGTTCTTGACAAGAACACAGGAAAGTATAGGCTTGTGGAGAACAGGAGCATGCAGCATAAATATGGGTCAATTGCAACAGAAGCATACTCATGACATCACCACACACTCGGCTCGTCTGGAGCTGCATTTCTCCTCCTGTTATTAATAGTCTCTAGATATGCTATGATGAGAGAGGACTACTGCACACAGGCTAACATTAGCCCTTGCTGCGGTTAGCCTCGGAGGTCTGCTGGTTGGAGTGGTCCTCTCAACATCAGAATTTTTTTTTTATTACGCACTAAATGAGTAAATGGGCCATATAGTGATGCTATATTTCTTAAAAGTATTATGTTCCTAACTCAAATAATCTTAAAACAAACTTTTAAAGAACAATAGCAACAGAAAAGAAAAGTTTTAACTTAATACTCTGAGCTCTGTGAGCGCTCCACTGGAAGTTGCTTCTCCCGCAATGCATGCTGGGACAGCGGTCAAACTCAAGAATGGACAAGTCTGCCCTGATGCATGCTTGATAAAGAGGGAGGAGCGAGAACAACATCCAGGGACTTTGTCCATTCTCTGTCTTGTGTTCTTATAGGGCTGAGGCTGATGACGTTCCACGAGCACATGAGAAAGGGGAGTGGCGCCTAGTGATGAGGGTATTGCGCTTGGAATCCAGAGGTTCTGAGTTCAAGCCCCACTCCAATGGGCTGCCACTCTGGGTCCCTGAGCAAAAAACCCTTAACCCCACACTGCTCCCCATGTGGATAGGTTAAATGCAGGGAGTTAATTTCGTCGATCTAAATGCTAATGAAAATATACTGTAGTTTATCTATACTTAACCATACCTAAGAATGGACAGAACTTAAAATACATGAGGCCACCTTTGGGCCACATACTTTGTGTCATGATTCTGCCCATTTTGGATGTTTTGGTTCTGTTTAAGTTTCTTTTTGAGTTTTCAGTTACACTTTCATTTATGTCATTCTTTGTTTTCTTAGTAATTGCATTCTTTTCCATTTTGTGTCATTTTAGTTGTTTTCTAGTTACATTTAAGCAATGTTTTGTTTTTTGTGTTGCTCTCTGTTGCCCCTTTTTGCGAGTCTTCTTTGCCCTAGCTTCTAGTTGCTTCTATCCACACCTGTTCCCTGTTAGCTGATTAGCCAAGTCCTTGTTCTGTCTCCAATATATATACTCCTCCTGTACAGTTCCTCAGTGCAGGTTTTCCTTCATTGCTTTAATCCTCATGTGTGTTTCTCCCTGGCATCTCATGGTTTTGATTTCTTGTTTTTTGTTCCTAGGTTTGTGTTTCTGTTGCCCTCTACACCTCATTAAATCTGCAAAATCTAATTTCTGCATTTTGGTCCTCAATTAACTCCCACCAAACCTGACACTTTGCCAGTTCTCTCTGAAGAATTAACCACAGTTTCTGCCAACGTTAGTTTTTTTAAGGATATCCAAAACATTTGACCTAAGTTCAATGGCAAGGGTGCCCAATATTGACAAAAATGTATGGAATACTCTGACATTCAAGTAATTAATAAACAATATATAAAAAAAGGTATCATTCGTTTTTCGGGCATTTAACAAATACGCAGACATCGTTTTGTTTATCCTAATGGACCTAAGACAGGAAAGGTTAATTCAAGTTTATTCACATAAACTTTGTCCCTAGTGTCAATAACAACAATGTTAATCAAGACAAATGGAGAAATCAAACTACTGTCAAGAAAATTATGGTATGCATGATGATCTGGAATGGTACAGGGACCTGAAAGGAATTTCTGAGTGGTAAAACTGGTTAAAACAAAGATAGCTTACCATAAAACGAACACCTCTTTGCAAGATATGCAGTACTAATGGAAGTCTTAACAGACATATTCATGGAATTGAGTGAGCAGTGAGCATCTTTGGAGCTCTAATCCTAACGGAAAGACCATTAGTTCATATTAAATCAGCAACAGTAATACAATAAAAAAAAAGAGTCAAAACAATTTAAGAGTTGTCCAAGAGCCAAGAAGTATGTCTCACCATAAAGACCATAAGAAATGTATTTATTAGCAAATGCCTCTATTTGCTCTGCAAGACTCTTCCCTCTTTCTTTCAACCAATGGAAAATATATTTAAAGAAAAAAAAAGATCAGAGTTCGTAAGAATGGTTCTCAAAATATTAGACTTATGCTATGTTCAGACTGCAAGCACTGGAAGCAGCAAAAAGCTTCTGCGACTTCATTTTTGATGCATGTTCTCATTAAGGTCAGACACGCCTCAAGAGCATCTTTGGCATTCCTGAAGTGTGTCCAGTAAATTGTTTCTGGTTGCGTCTGATGCTTCTTCTGCTAATGTGTTCAATGGCAGAGAACAGCTTTGCTATATTTGGTGTTATAAGGGGGTATAAAGGAAGTTTCAATATGTTTTTGAGTGAGAAAGTCCACCTGAAAACGTAATCTGTGCAGTCAGTTCACCAAGATTACGATCCTGCTTTCAAATATTATTTCGCTGTTGGAGCCGCTCTGGCCCGGTTGGCTGGAAGGCGTTTTTCATGTACTTAATCCAAACTGCAGGCACCAGGATAATAAAAGCAAACATATTTTGCTGGCAGGTTTTGACATTTTAAGTTAATTTAGGCATTAATGAACTGTTTGAGGGTAGTGATCATAGCGATCTGAATTAGCAGCGTTGTTTCCGTCTCCACCAGCTCCCAGTTTAGCTTCTTTGATTGGTTCATGTGGCGTGTCGAGCAGCAAAAGTAAAATTTTTCCAACCCCAGCAGCTGCTGCTTTTGCAATGTGTCACATGCGTCAGAAGCTCATGCAGCGCTTCTCCTGCTGCTCCAAATGTGCTGCAGGACCTTTTCATTCGCATCAACCTTAGACTTTGCAGGTAAACTAGCTGCTTCTGCTACTTCTAATGTGTATGGTCTGAATGTAGCATTAAAGATAGTCTGTGTTAAGGAACTTAGCAATGTTTGACTGGTTTAATGAAGAAGACATATTGAATTTGTCCTTCACAAATAAGTCTTTATATGTACCGGTATGTAAACATGTGTAGTCTTGCCTCTAGCACTGAGATTCTTTAGTTACTTTATTTTAGGGGTATTTAGGTTACTATATCCTTTTTACTCTGGATACATGTTTACTGTAAGGAGAAAAGCTTTTTAAGTTAAGATATAGTTATGTAGTTTTAGTAATGAAATAGGAAATAAGTCTTTCATATAAAAGAACAGTGTTGGATTCCAGGTAATAACTATGTAATCATGCCTTTTGAATGAGTCTGTCAGGATGACGGGACCCATTTTGGCTTCCCGCTGTAGAGATTTAAATTATTCACTGGAGCATTTTGCATCACACGTTCCCCCCATAACCCCTTTCTAGCATGTGAACACATAGGCATGTTTGCGTATGTGTGTAGTTAGCAGGAAAAGATGAGGAGGAGAGAGTGGGAGGAACAGATGTCTGCTGAGATCAGTGTATGGTACACGCCGACGTCTCGTCGACAGGTCTGCGGTACAGAAAATGCAAGAGTTGAGTGGTGAGGGAAAAGGTGTGGTAGGATTATTACAGAGGGAAGAGAAACTGAAAGGATAAGATGGGGCTTTTGCCTGGGGAAAATGACATGCACAAAAGCAGAGTGATGGTGGAGAGGGATGTAATTGTGATATAGGTTAAAAGCAGGCAACGCAGGGCAGACCTGATGAAGGAAGTTGTGTAGATAAGATAGAGCAGCAAGGGAAAAGGTTTCCAATTAAAGAGAAAAGCACAGAAGGTTAGAAATGATAATGATGAGATGGAATGAAGATATTAATGATGGAGCAGTA